TTGTACACTTATCACCATGGTTGAGACCCGTAGTGGGAAGGAGACTAGCCCCTACACCACTGAGCAACAAGAAAAGATGGCCGCCTTAGTCAGAGAGARTAAGGAGAGGAAAGAGCGTGAAAAGCAAGCCAAGCTAAAGGCTATCGCAGACGAVCAGGCGGCGAAGATGAAGAGATAGGAGGAGGAGATGAAGAAAGTACAACAAGAGGAGGAAGAAAGAAGAAAAGTTGCTGAAGCAGAAGCGGCAGCAGAAGACGAGAAAAAGAGGATGAGGATTGAGAGTGGAGAAGGGAGTAGTAGTGGCACGATGACGAGGGAGACAGATACAGGGCTGGAGAAGAGGATCAGCGAGTGGGTCGCTAATTTATCGTTGGGAGAAGACGAGGAGGCGGAGTCCTATGTGACTAAGGATGAGAAGGCTGCACTGGCCGCCGAGCTAGCAGCCATGACAGACCCGATGGAACGAAGAGAGAGGGAGGAGGAACAAAAGTTAGCATGGAAGCTGAGGATGAAGAGAGAGAAGAAGAAGAGGAGAGAGGAAGTGAACAAGATGACCGCAGAGGTGGCAAAGGTGCAGGAGTGTAGAGCGGAGGTGCTGGCCCAACCAGACGATAAGGCCAAGTGGGACAAAGTACTGGGGTACTTGGAGGTGTTGAGCAAAGCCTGGATGGAGGAGCGCCAGGCGAGCTGGAGCCAGAATGTAGCGTTGAGTGCCATGCAGTCAGGGTTTAGAGATTTTGCGCGCGAGTTCGTCACCCATATTGAGGGCGAAGTCAAGCAATTGAGAGATAATGTAGGGAAGTTTTGTGAGGGCGCCATTCAGGGTGCCAAAGCTGTAGCCGCTGCAGAGGGAGAGGCCGGACCCCGTACGGGGGGAAGAAGGAAGAGAACTTTGACAACTGGGAAGCCAGTGTCAACAGTTATATTTACTTGCAACATATCCTGATGGAGGAGCAAGTCCTCGTGGCCTTCCAGGCCCTGAAGGACGAAGCGGCTAGCTTCGCCAGGTCTCTCGCGCGTACAGCCGGTTGTGAAAACAACCTGGTTGCATATTCCAAAGTCACTCCTCTTTCCCAATTCCTCAAGCTTCTCAAGGAGCGGTTTGCTGACCCAATGCGAGGCATTAGAGCCTCTGATAAGCTCCAAACGATCCACTCCCGACAGTGAAGGAGTGCCAAGGCACTCAAGGGTACCATGGACGACTTGGTAGCCATCCCGGACCACGGGGTCACTGAGCCCCAGCTGGTCCAGTTGTTTTATCGTGCCATTCCAGAGGCCCTACGCAGACATTTCTTTGACAAATCTCAGCAGGYCGGCATGACCTACGATGTATTGAGTAGAAAAGTCGTCCTGTATGAGTCGAAGTCTATGCCAGTTACCACTTTCTGGCATAAGGACCTGGAGAAGGGGAAGAAG